AAAGATTGAAGAAGAAAAAAAATACTAGAGCAGATTTACACTTGATGTTTATTTTATGGAAACTACTACACACATCTCAATTAGTGGTATTACAATATTGCTTTCCACACAGATGATTATATATTCATATTTGTGCCTGATCTGCTTTTCTAATTATGGTATGTAAATAAAAATTGAGCTTTGCTTGTTAACTGTAGTCTATCTGATATGCATACTGTATATTTCAACCATCTGAGAATGTTTGGTTGACAATTATGCTTGGTCTTAAGTAGAAGTCTTTTAAACCTGTTAATTTTGTAAGAGGAAAAAAAAATCTAGGTTTCTGTAAAACCTGTAAAATCCTATATATCCACTAGGTGGAGATCTCAGCTTCAATCATTTTAGGAGAGCAAATGGATCTTCAAGATCAACACAATGGATTCTGAACAAAAGGAATTTTAAGGAGCTTTATTGCCAATTTTTATTAACTTCAGATTCTGAAAACTAAATAACGCATTAACGTGTAAGATGTCAAGGTCTGACCTCTTGAGCTGCGCATGCCACTATTCTTTGGTGTTAGCTTCCTTCCTGTGCACAGAAATTAAATGGGCTTATAAGCATCAGATTTACAAGTCATAGAATAAACATCTCTCGTTCAATGCCACACTTATTTGCCCAACAGTATATGCAAACAATTTTGTTACTATACCAGTAACCTGTGAAAACATACCTTCACATTTTCTAGTGTGGGGGGGGCGGAGGTTGCAAAGATGATTAACTTCCTTTCACCTCTCTCTCTATCTGTCCAGGTATCTGTATCTATATATCTACATTTGGCAATATTATAAAGCTTAGAAGACTATTGGAACAATACATAATGCTTACATGCCCCACCTATCTTCTGTTTTCTTTCTTACTCAAAATGGCCAGCAACCGACAATTTTCTTATTTTGAAAGTCTCTAACCTTATTACCTCTCTTCTTTCTCTTTTCTGCCTGGATTCAAAATTTTCTTAGTTATAATTTCAACTCCTCTACCCTCTGTTTTTGTGCAGACTCTCTGCTTGAGCTTAAATCCTCTGCCTCTGCCTGCCTCCCTGTCCCCGCTTCCTTTGTTAAGCACCTTTAAGGTGAGAAGAGCCTCTGTAATGACTCACACAATAACTTGATTCTAATTGACAGCTCCCTCAGTTCTATAGACCAGGTTACTTTTTTCTTGTTAGCTCTCTTTTTTTTTCCTTTTCTTATTTTTTAAGCACCTTCACCTTAATGCAGAGCCCTTCGTTTTGTTCTCCTCTCACTGTCAACATCCCTGATATCTACTGGCCTAATGAATGCTCTGGTCACTGGCTGCCTCTTAGGAATCAGGGATGACAGGGCTCCAGGACTCTTTTCTCTCTTCCATTCCCTAAATCCAGTCTTTCTCCACCTTATGATGTTCTGTTTCCTTTGAAGTATTTCTCAGGTTTACCCCTGGTTCCGAATCCCCATGGTAATCATTGTAGTCTTTGTGTTGTAATCAACTGGATTACTAATGGCCCAGCTGGACGCTCTGTCTTCAGTGCCTTTTGCTTCCATTCAGTCCACTGGTTTTCTGTGTTTATCTGGCACAAACTTCCTGGGGTGTTTGTTCGAATGACACATTCCTGCTCCATCCCACAGACTTTGATGTAGTAGATTTAGAACACAGCCTCCCCCCCATCCTGGTTTTAACAAACATTCCAGGGTCATCCAGAGGTCCTATAAGCAGCCCACACATTAAGAAACAATGCTTAGCTATTCCGATGCACACTAGGAGAAAATTCAGTGCCTGCCTCCCTATGGAACTACAAACGCTTCTTCAAGTGAATGAATCCTTCACACCAAACTCTGATGAATCTTCTTTAAAAAATTACTTTTACCCTATTTCTTAACTGGTTTAGAGACAGAAAAAGAATTGCCCACAATTTCATGTCCAAACTTCCTGTTCTGGTTTCCAGGGCTTTCCAAACTCTGAACCCCTTTAACTATGAGGACTTCCTCCCACCTCTCCCTGTTTTTTCAATATGCATTTTCCATCCCCAATAGGCTGCTACTCTCATTGTCTTCTTTTGACTTTATAGGTTTCGATTAAGCTTTATCTTTATGTTTATGGGTCTTGACTAAGAGGACACACACAGGAAACAGTAATGTGCTTCAAATTCAAAAAGTAAAGCAAAATCAGACATAAAAGAAAAAATGAGTCGTGAAATCGAGAATCTGGAAAATAATGACCAGGACAACATGATGTTAGTGTCTTAGATCTGAATGACTCAACTGATGCCTGGTATAAAGATTTAATCCCCCAGTGGCCACAGTGTCTCAATAACTAAGTCCTTCCCTTGTGTATTTTCACAACAGGTTTGCATATGTTCCCTTTTTGGAGATTGATTTTCCCTCACCAACCACTTTCATTCAGCAAACTCCTGTTTGTGCTCATGATCTCAGTTCAGGTGTCATGTCCTCCAGGAAGCCTTATCTGACCCGCATGAGCTCTGTGTCCCCCACTTGCTGGTATTCTTTAGTATGCATTCTCATCTAATTTGGTTTTTCTTCATTTAGCTTGTCATTATAAAACCGTTGATGTGTTTATCCAGTTAATCTCCATTTGACCCAAGGACTTAAATTTCACTGAGAGAATATGTTCAAGGAATCCCAGCACCTATTCCTGGGGCTGTATGTAGTAGAGACTCAGTAAGTAATTGTTGAAGGAAATAATGAAAACCAGCTCATTATTCCCTTTTTCCTCACCACTCAGCCTACTGATATGGTAAAGACTTTATTGGGCCATGTAATGATGACCGAGGCATGCCACATAAAGAAGCTCATTTTCATAATGCTGAATGGATTCCACAACCAAGCCAGGGTCCACCTGACTGACAAGCCCAGATGTTGCCAACCAGAGACTTTGTTTTCCTGTCCTGATTTCTCCCCATTCTCTTCCCTGAACCTCATCCCCAGAGTCAGACCTACGCTGAGAGTCTTCACTGCTGAGTAGTAAAACCTTTACACTAAGTACTTGATTTTGGCCATTAGTAAATAAATAAATAAATAAATAAATAAATAAATAAATATATACAGTAAGATATATCTATATCTATATCTATATCTATATCTATATCTATATCTATATCTATATCTATATCTATATCTATATCTATATCTATCTATATCTATCTATCTATATATTACTGTATTCTCTTTTGGCCCTATTCTGGTTCTCTTTATCATTTCCCTGTTACTTATGGAATCCATTCTACCCCCCAAAATACTTTTAGTAGCTTCCAATGACTTGCTTTTTTATCACCAAATTAAAACTTCCTTATGCCCCTTATCTATAATCATGAAAGGTCAGTTCAAAAAAGCAAAAGGGATTCCCTGGATTATCATTTTATGCTATACCTTGGAACAGCTCACATCCCACTGAGAGAAGGAAATTCTGGGTTAGCTACTTGGCACCCTTATTCTAGGAAAACACATCTAAGGTTCACTGGAAAGGCAAGGAAAGCTTATCCTGAACTATATAATCATGTAATTTTTAAGACAAGTTTTTCTGTACATCAAAATTCAGATAAGGTGATTAGAGGCACTGATAAGCAGTAAAGATATTCATTCGTTTACTCAATAAATATTTTGGAGCACTTACTAGGTACAAAATAAAATGAACAAATAAAAAGTCCCAGTTTTTATGCAGCTAACATTCTGGTAGTGAGGGAAGATTCTACACATAAATACGTAATCTCTCAGATTAAGTGGTCAGGAGCAGAGGTTATTTCTTTTGAGATATTCAATCCATGTCCCATCATAAGCTTCCCTTTTCTTCATAAGAGTTTCCTGTACACTTGTGGGATTGGGTATTGACTTGGTCTGGGTTTTGTCTTTTGAAAATAGGTAGGTTGCTTTCTCCTTCCAAACATTCGGACTATGGCTTATTCTATTTTTCCTGTGGTGAGATGCTTTCTGAGATAACAATAGCCTCCTTTATCTGCTCCTTTCTTTGTCAAAGAGAGATAAAGTGCCTGGGGAGGATCAGAAACAAGCACCTATACGAAGAGAACAGCAATAACCAGGATGGTTAGAGGTGGGTGAATAAGGGCTATTAGGCCTTTTTGTATACGGATCTCCAATGTGAAGAATGTGGACTAAGTCACTCTGCTCAGAGCAAAAGAATCGATGTGGACTGACGTCAAGACACAAGGATTTCGGTAGACAGCAAAACATAGTGTCAGGCGGACTCTTAGACACTGTGCTAAGCTGTGCTCTCAGGAAAGAAGTTGTAGAATCTTCTCCTTTGTCAGTCTTCGAAGACAAAGTGGGCATCACTCTGGTACAAATAAGAAGAATCCTTTTCTGTACACAGATGGTCTGGGAGTTCATCCTGGGATTATATGACTATTTCTTTTTACTCTCTTAGAGTATGATCATATTTTAAAATGTTCGTTCCCAGTGTTTACATACCATACATTACTTATTCCTTCCATAATATCAATCCCTTCATTTGGGCTCAAAATCTATGCTCTTCACTACTTTATCACAGCCACTCAGAGTTAGAGAAGGACCAGGACCAGGTCTCCTGCCTCCTGCTGGAGCCAGCGCTGCTGAAGACCACGTGACATGGGGCCTTCGCCTGGAGGCCTGCCCCCTGGTGAAGAGCCCACACCAACCCATCTTGGGCCAAATTTCTTTCTTTAGAAAATGGCTAAATGTGGCTGAAGCATAGTTAATAAAATTGCAGCTGAGATGAGAGTGTGAGTCATCTGTCATACCCTGGTTTTTCTTTTACTAATCAGTTGTGAGAAACATTTCAAAATCAGAGAGCAGCAGCAAAGAAATATGAGATACTCAGACTTCTTGAGGCAATTAGAGACGAAAGAGCAGAAGGCAAATCAGTCCTCTCGCCTCAACAGTCTTAATATACACACTAAAAGAAGACTTTGGTGTGACACTATTTGTGACAGATTCTGACCATAACACATTTTCTAAGAGGAAATAAAAATGACTCACTTCAGGACACGCATTCCACCCTCGCATCAGCAGAGATGATATGGGCTTCGGAATAGAATAGCCAATGGGTGGTCTGATGTGATGGTAAGCCATGTCAGCTGCGGCAGCCGCTGCAAACCAAATGGTCATGTCATTTTGAAATCTACATATTCATTTTAAGAAACCCATGAACAGGCCACAATCATCAAAAATCAATCTGTGCATCATCAGGAGAGATTCAAAAAGAACTTTGTGCTTTTTTGAAAAACTTAAACCAAACATTGCATAATTTGATACTGTAAGTTTATCTTTATAAATTCATTCATTTGGTTGTTCATTTGATAGTGAGCATAAGGACTATGCACAGGAACAAAGCAGCATACAAAGGAGCGTGAAAATAGCAAGTTATTTAGAATGTGCAGCTGAAGTATGGGGTAGGTACATGATGTTATAGAAAGTAAAGACAGACAGACAGATTGGACCAGACTGTACCATGCCATAGCTCTCAGGCTAATGAGCTTACATGGTGCAGAGTAAGACATGGTATGTCACTGCACTTTGTACTTCAAGTACCTGGTCAATGCAGATTATTTTTTAAGCTGAAATTTCATGACTATTACAAGAATGTTAGGATTTTAATTTTAATATTTAGAAAGTAGTTATTATTTGCTAAACTCTACCAGAGACTTCACATCCATCTTTTTATCTAATAGCACTCATTGCCTGAACTCCCTAGTGCCGCCTGCCTATTTGCATTTCTGAATATTGCTCATCTCAAAATCCCTGTTACTACATTATGATTCTTGGAACTTCATCGTAGATTACTGATTGCTGATTATTTTTCTGTTCTGCAACCCGTGATTTCTCTACTCCCTTGGAAACCAAGCCTATAACTATTTTTTATTAAATTACACTTCATGTCAGGCATCATGGCATGTACAGGCTTTTTTGACCCCCCTGACAACCATGCAAAGTATGTATGAGTGTTACTGTCATGTTTTGGTGTGTGTATGTGATGAGTTTTTAATTCATCAAAAGAATTGAATCTGACTAGTGGTTGCTGTAGCCTCTTGTTCCAGATTCCATGATCTCTTCAGCCACTTCACATTAAAAATTCTTTGTGAACAACACGCGAAGCTCTTTTTATTCTTCCCATTGGACTCTGCACCAGTGGGAGCTCAAGTTCCAGGGCATGGCTCCTTCCTGTTTTCTAGATTGTGATGTCATAAGCATCTGTCTGTATGGTAAAGGCTAGAGGTCTGACCCTCAACCACTCCCTCTGCACCTGAGTTTGCTCCCCTTCGGTTCTGTTTAAGGATCTGGTGCAGTGAAATCATATGCAGCGTAACTGAACGGTCTCCTTCATGGGTCGGTCAGAATTAGCACCTAATTTTGCCAAATGTGAAATTTATACTTATCCTTTGTAAAATTTTAGAAAATGAAGAGAATTCAAGAGAATAAAATTGTATTCAGAGGAAACACATGTAAACATATTTTAAGTGTTTCTTATATTTACATCATTGAGCTTATTTCTAATATATAATTATGTAATACTTCTTTCCTTAAATTAAATATAAGCATTTCCAATGTTAAATCTCCATGCTAATATATTTTTAATGACTCTCCACTTAGTGTGATTTACTTAATCATTCCTCAATTTTATGTTCAAATAAGCACTTCAAAGAATGTCTTTTTCAATATGAATTTCTTGATTTCACAAACTACCTAGGTTATTTTGAGAGGTAAAATTAATATATCAAAGGGGATAGCTAAAGACTTTTTATACATACTTAAAAATTGTTTTTCTGAATAATTGTAGTAATTTATACTTTCAATAGCGAGACTGTAAGTAAATTTTTAGATTTAGAATTAGATTTTCTCACTTTATAAAAGATTTTGCTAATATCAGAGACAAATATATCAGCTTACTCATTGTTGTTTAAATTTTGTTCTTTACTGATTAGCGAGGATTAATGTTTTCCCAAACGTTTATTATTTGTCTTTAAAATTTTAGTTCATGCCCTTTGCCCCCCTGAAATGAGGACCATGCCCCCTGGGAGCACATCCCCTGGGAATGGGGGAGGGGTTGGAGCTGTGCTGATCGGAGACTCTGCCCCCAGGGACCAAAGAAGGGCGAAGGCAAACCTGTGTTGGCCCTCACCAGTTGCTAACACTGAGAAAACAAAGGAACAAAAGGTTGATCAAATCATACTTAGCAAACTTAACATGACTCATAAAATGTATCTTTTGTGTTATAAAAAACTAGGCATGTTAGGCTTCTTCCATTGGCTACTCTTGACTATTTTTGAATTCTTTTTGAGATCAGTGAACGAGTAAGCAAACAAACTGATGCTTAATGATCACTGATCTAACTCTACTTTTTCACCTTATGACCATTTGAATGTTGTTGAGCTGGAGCAACTATAGGCACATAAAGCAGTGTAGTGAACACATTCAAGCTAATGACACATATCGTAATGGGTGGGGAGAGACTGTTCACAAAGTGAGTTAAGCTCAGATGCAGGCGCCAAACATCTCCTCTGAAGCTCTCTTAGGCTCTGATATCAAGTATACAAAGTTGTTCACTTTTTGGCACTGTGTCTGCAAAGTCAGTTTAAGATGAATGATATTTAATTCTTCATTATTCAAAGCAGATTCTGCAAAGCCCTGGCAACTTTTCCCTTTTGCTTTGTGAGTTCTTGGCAGGGACACTACTCACGAGCAACTCTGACTAGTGGGCAATGTGACATGAGGAGTCATGGGACAGAAATTCATCACCTTTGACATTGCTTTGCCCATCTTGCCTAAGTGGCCATGACACACTAGCAGCTGGGGAACTTTCTGCTACTCCTGATTCAGATGTCACTGTCAACCCATTAATCACATTTTACCTTGATTGCTACATGAAATATATTAAATGACTTATGTAAATATTAATTTCTATTTTTACAGAGAAAACTACTATTGAAAGAGAATAAGGCTAAATTAAAAATAGCAAAAACTATTTATTGAGCACCTATTCTTTCATCAGCACTATCTGAAATAATTATCAATAGTAAAGCTTATAATGTGGCTTCTGGGCTAGGGCTGTTCAACAGAACTTTAAATATATATATATATATATGTATATACATATATATACATATATATACTTTTTAATTGCTTATTACAGTTGTCCCAATTTTTCCCCCTTTGTCCCCCTCCATCTGGTACCCTTCCTTCCTTCCAGCATCCTCCCCTCTTAGTTCATGTCCATGGGTCATGCACATAAGTTCTTTGGCTTTTCCATTTCCTATACTATTTTTAACATCCTCCTGTCTATTTTGTACCTACCAATTAATCCCTGCACCTCCCCCTCATTTCCACCCCCCTCCCAGTTGATAACCCTCTAAATGATATTCATATCTAGAATTCTGTTCATGTTCTAGTTGTTTGCCTAGGTTTTTTATTTTAAAATATTTTATTTATATTTCTTTTTAGAGAGAGGGAAAGAGAAGGAGGAAGAGTGGGAGAGAAACATCTATGTGTGGTTGCCTCTCATGTGTCCCCACTGGGGACCTGGCTTGCAACCCAGGCATATTCCCTGATTGGGAATTGAACCAGCAACCTTTTGCTTCACAGGCCTGTGCTCAATCCACTGAGCTACACCAGCCATGGCTATTTTTTAATTTTAGATTAAGTTGTTAATAGTTGTTAATTTGTTGCCATTTTAATGTTCATGGTTTTGATATTCCTCTTTTTCTTAAATAAGTTCCTTTTAACATTGCATATAATAAGGACTTGGTAATGATGAACTCCTTTAACTTTACATCATCTGGGAAGCACTTTATCTGCCCTTCCATTCTAAATGAGAGCTTTGCTGGATAGAGTAACCTTGGGTGCAGGTCCTTGCCTTTCATGACTTCGAATACTTCTTGCCAGTCCCTTCTTGCCTTCAAAGATTTTTTTGAGGAAACCAGCTGATTATCTTATTGGAACTCTCTGATTTTCTCTTAATGCTTTTAAGGTTTTTCTTTATCATTAACCTTTGGCATTTTAATCATGTGTCTTCATATAGTCCTCTTTGGGTCCAACTTGTTTGGGTCTCTCTGTGCTCCCTGAACTTGCATGTCTACTTCATTCACCAAAGTAGGGACATTTTCTTTCATTATTTTTTCAAGTAAGTTTTCAAATTCTTGCTCTTCTACTTTTCCTTTGGGCATCCCTATGATTTGGATGTTGGTACATTTGAAGATGTCCCAGAAGCTTCTTATGCTATTCTCGTTTTTTTTTTTCAGTTCTTATTTCTTTTTGCTGTTCTGGTTGAATGCTAATTTCTTCCTTATGTTCCAAATCGTTAATTTGAATCCCATCTTCCTCCCCTTCACTATTAGTTCCCTGTAGATTTTTCCTTATTTCACTTAGTGTAACCGTCATTTCTTCTTTTATGTTATTACCATACTTGATGAGTCCTTTGAGTGTCCTGATCAGTAGTGTTTTAAACTCTGTAATTGGTAGATTGGTTATCTCTGTTTTGTTTAGTTCTTTTTCTGGGGTTTTGTTCTGTTCTTTCATTTGGACCATATTTTATTGTCTCCTCAATTTGGCAGCCTCCCTGGGTTTGTTTCTGTGTAATAGGTAGAGCTGCCTTGACTCCCTGTCTTAGTAGTGTGGCCTATTGTAGAAAAGTCACCTGCAAATTGTGTGGGGCAGAGCCCTATGTAATTGTCAGGGCAGGCAACCTGCTCCACTACTTTGTGGTTCTGTGTGCGGGAGGGCTCAGGGAGAGGACAATGCAGTTGCCTGGCTTCTGGAGTTTTGCCCGGCATTTGCCCTGTTCCCAGTCACTTCACCCATTCCCTGTGTGCAAGTGTTCACCTATTCCCTGTGTGCAGTGATGCCCTTCCAGCTGTTGCCCTGGTGCTGAATCCCAGAATGGGTGTGTTTGCATACATTCTCAGACTGTGTGGACTCTTTACCTGGACAATCCAGCAGTTTCTTCCTCTGCACCAACCCCTACTGATGTTTATAGCCAGAAGTTATGGAGATTGATCTTCCTGGTGCTGAAACCCTGGTCTGTGCCATCTGGCCTGAGGCTGGGATTACTTGTTCTCAAGGTATCCCTCCCAATTTTCATCCCCCACACATGAAC